CCCAAACACACTTTCTAGGCCCACGACCTCCAAATCCAAATCTGATTTCACTGTTAGATTCGTTCTGTCAAACCCTACACAACGGTATAAGCCTTACTGTCAAACGAAGAATATTTATAATTTACACCGAGTCCGTCTTAGTAAATAATTAATCATTTAAGTTATTATAATTATTATGCCTCTTCTTTCATAAAGTGAGTTAAACAGTGAATCACGAATAGATAGATCCACATAGGAGTGCCTGAGCACGTGAGCGCACATCGAAGCGTCAAACTAATTGTGTTATGCGCTCACTTGTTCCCATTTTGATACTCTACGATTATTAGATGAGTACCATTAGTACCAGAAGCGTGTCAAGCGTTGACTCCAGTCGAACCTTCGTGCTTGGTAAGAGACAAAAGAACAAGAGGCAGAGTTACGATTCGAAAGAGCGCTACCAACGTGCACATCGCAAGACTTGGATAGTAAGGCTAAGGATCTGGAAGCGTCGGAAGGCAGCGTGGGAAAGAGATGATCCCGAGGAAACATTCAGCGTGGACTCTACCAACAGTATCGTCTGCGCAGGTGTGGATATTCCTCCAGTGGACTCAGCCCGACTTGTGGCATAGTCGAGGTTGTAATCGATGCAACATTTTGTCCCACTTGTCTGAACCAAATAAGTTCGTTGAATGAAATTCGTTGATTGCTCTTTAATCTATTATGCCCTTGTATACTTAACAAAACAAAGTTTTGGGGTAACGCACTATCTCCCTAAACACGTGAGGTGTGACTTGAGGAGAATTTTGAGGACGAAATTCCTTGAGTTTGAGAGAGATGATTTGTTTCATAAGTGATAAGGTTACCTTGAAGACCGTTGCATGTGATTACGTTGTAATCTCGGCCTTCATAGATGGATTTAACCTTCGACTCCCATTCCTTGGTAAGTCTTTGGAGGATTTTCCACACTAACTCCTTGCCAGTGAAAGTCTTTCCAAGCATTTCGAGGTCGTTGATAATGTTTGAAAATCTCTCAAACATGTCCTCCACAAGCTTGTTCTTTTTCATAGCAATCAACTCATATTCATGGGTTAGCAAATCAATTTTTGATTCACGAACTTGAGGCATACCTTCGTATGTGATCATGAGTTTATTCCACATTTGATTGGTGGTTTGGCACCGTGAAATCTTTTGATAATCATTGGCATTGACAGTACAATACAAGAAGTTTATGGCGGTGGCATTCAATTGAGCCTTCTTGAAGTCGGCTTCATCATATTCATCCTCGTTCTTCGGTATGAGTGTATCTCCTATCTTCTTCATCGGCAAGCTATCTCCATTCTTGATAGCAAGACAAATTTTGAAGTCGTTTGATTGAACAAAAATCCTCATTCGTTCCTTCCAATAAGAGTAATTTGTTCCATCAAAAAATGGCGCCCTTACGGTGGATTTCCTTTCTCTAATCCCTGCGTTCAACATTCTCAAAAAAAATTTGTTCAGTATCTCAAACGTCACAAGGAGCGTTAGAGATACCCGCTCCGATACCAATTGTTAGACAATGCGTGCAACTCTAGAGGGGGGGTGAATAGAGTTGTTGAGAATGTTTACCGATTTTCGTAGGATTAATAATATAAACGTAAGTGCAGTGGAAATAGAGGAGAGAAGGCAAAGAACACACCGATATATACTGGTTCACCACCTCGTGGCTAGTCTAGTTCCTCGAGAGACTCTCTCGAAGCTACCACTACTTCCGTTAAGCTTACGGGTGCTTAACAAACAGTTACAACCTGAGAACTTGAATCCCACAAGCCTCAATACAACCGCTTGTAGATGTGCCCTCTACAAAACTTCACACCCAAGACTTAAGTCACATAAGTCTTGTACATCAAGAAGAACACTCTTCTTCAACCTCTCAACAATAGCTTTCAAAAGAGTAGGAATGAGAAAAGGTTTAGCTCTAATGGATGACAAGAAACCTCTCTTAAAAACAAATACTTTTCTCTCAAAATGATATAAATTTGAGGAATGATTGATGGAGGATTAACACCTCAAGAATGGGGAGTGTTGGAGTGTTTCTTGCTTTTAAAATCGCCAAGAGAATGATGTATATAAAAGGTGGAAGGAAAATATCCATTGTGAGAAGAGAGGAGATTGTGAAGTGCAGCAGACAAAAAATAATCGATTAATCCAAGATAGAAAAATCGATTAGAACCTTCTGTCTTCAATCCCTTCAGCGGATAGAAATGCTAATCGATTATTCCAAAGTATAATAATCGATTAATATGTTCTGTGAAAAAAACTTTCAACAAAGTTGGGTGATAATCGATTAAGGATTATAATCAATTTTCTTGAGAACCAGAAATTGATTATGTGGAGTAATATGAAAGGGTCGTGCAAGACAGACCAATTTGACGTAAGTGGTTGTTTCCGACAAATAAGGCTCCTCCACTACAACGAATAAATTTCAAAAACAATTCTGAATAATAGGAGGGTTTTGGGTGAAGAAAATGAGTCCAAAAATGTTTTGTGTGTCAAACGATGTACACAAAAAAATTGGATAAAATATTTTTGCTTACCAAAAATATTTTCTAACATCAAAATAAATATTTTGATAAATGTTTTACACACTTTTTCTAACTGACTCAATAAAAGTATTTTGACCAGTTAAAAAGTTTTTCAACTGACTCCAAAAATAAATATAATTTTTATTTTAACTCTCATAAAAATAATTTTGGAGAGAAGATATTTTTTTCATCCTTATAATAATTCCTTCGAGTCCTCTATTACGCGCTCCGAACGCGTCTCGGACTCCAATAAAATCCTGTGCACCTTCTCGAATAGTTCAAGAAATTGCACTTCAAGTCTTCTTGTTTGTCGATGTAGCAATTTGATCTTGACTTGAATAAATTGTGTTTGTCAATTATCAAAACCTGTGAGTCAACATTTAACAACACAGAAAGAATTAAACTCATGCATTCCAACGTTATAGATATCTTGGGTTCTTAAAAAGTAAATGCATTAAATGCTAAGATACTGCTCAACCATCCCTCCGTCCACCTAAGATCGGATGCTTTCCCAATCAGTAAAAAAAAGTAGAGTAGAAATTCCAAAAAATCCAAACCAATTCTGTTTAGTGTAAATCGTGTTCCCCAAACACACTGTTGTTTATTTATTTAAAATTGTGTTCAGCGAACACGATATACATTAAAACCTGCAACCAGTACCTATAATTCTACTCCCTTGTTCCTAAATAGATTATAAATTGCGGGTTACGAAATAAAATTTTCTACTTTTTGAAATCATTTTATTTACAAATTGGTATATCAATAAGATATAAAAATTACATATTAAAAGACTATGTCAAAAGTTCTACAAAACAAGAGGTGACAAGAATATTTTATTTTATCAAAAAATACTTAATGAAATCGAGTAAATAAACAAAAGTTATCGAGATGAGAGAGAGAAAAATTGTAATCTATTTAGGGACAGAAGGAGTATAAATTTAAACCCATTTGTTTATTGCTTTGGCTATGTTATTTTTACGTTTATTTCTTAGGCTTTGCTCCTTTTTTTCTTTTTTAGCACCTATTGTTTTTTTATCTTGCTTATTTTTATTTTTTTCCTTTTTTTATTTCATTTTAGTTTACAAGATATGATTGAAATTATTTTCATTTTGATTTACTCCTAACCTATTTTGGAGTTTAAATGATAAAGAAATCCCCATCAATAGCACTAAAAAAACTAAAAAGTCTAAAATAGCACTCCTATTGCTTCTTTTACTTTCGTAGGAGTGAGTAGTGTATTAGGCATGATATTATTCCTAATCTACCCTTCTTTTAGTGCCGCAAAAAAACCACCCCCACCGCACCCTAATTTTCTGCCTTTGATCCAATTGTTCTCAGACTTTCTTCAATGTCCTTGATGTTTGATAAGCCGAAAATCCAACCATGGATGAACTGGATTGGCAATGACCGGTATCTGTTTTTGGATGATTTTGAAATGATTCAGCATCGCTTCATGCCAGCGGAGTACGATCACCATTGTGGATGCCCGATTGTAGTGGTAGATGAAGTGAAAGTGATTCTTATCAACTATGTTGAAATTTAGAATTCTCTCCCGGCCTCCCCCTCGCTATCAGATCCACCTCTGTCTCCTCTAGTACAACCGGGAGGCAGTGTGATGTTGTACTGGTGGAGGGTGGCAGTGTGGCGGCAGGGGGTGACAGTGTGGCGGTAGAGGGTGGTAGTGTGGCGGTGAATTTTATAGTGTGGTGGAAGAGGGAGGTAGTGTGGAGGCGTTGATGGTTGAGGTGATGATGGTAGTTTGGCAACAAAAGGTGGTGGTGTGACGTTGGAAATCGTTGTGTGGCGGCAGCATTGGAGGCACTGTGGTGACGGTGTGGTGGCAGTGTGGCGATGGAGGTGACAGTGTGGCATTGGAGATGGTGGTGTTGTGGAGGATTTTTGTAGTGTGGCGGTACAGGTTCGTGCAATCTGGCGATGACGATGGCAGTGTGTCGTGGGGGTGGTTGTGCAGGTGATAGTGGCAGGGTCGCAGTGGGTCGGTGGCGGATGCGATGGAAGTGAAGTGACGACAACGATAATGTGGTAGTGGCGGCGGCACAAAGAGATATGTGGTGGTGGTGGGCGGCGACAGTACGTGTGGCGACGATGGTGGTGATGATGATGATAATGTGGTGCGAAGGGAGGAAATGTGGTGATAGAGGTGGTAGTGACAATGGCAGTGTGGCAAAAAACCAGGTGCTTATTGCCATAAATTTGGTGAATCAAATCTCATATACTTATTATAAAAGGGCAAAATTGGCATTTGAAACACCCATTATAACACCCCAACCCGCATAACCCGAATAAACAGGTTAGCGAACCGGGTTGCTACTAAATTGGTATCCACATACAATATTTTCCAATAAAATAAAACATTTAATTTAAAACTCAAACAATTCAAAATCATTTAATAATTACATATCAGAGTTTATACAAACAGTGCGGAAGCCTTATAATTAAACCAAACATTAAATCCCTGCATCCGTACATCTCCTCCGTCATGCTGCTCTCCCGGATGGATTTCAGAATCAATCTACCACAACCACCTACGTGTAGCAAATAGGAAAAAGGGCTACACGCTCAGCATTAAAGCTAAGTGAGAAATATCTAACAGTTCGAACATACACATAGGCGAATCCACTAATTCACAATTACCACATGATATCATGCACACAACATGCTTGACAACAATCATACGGCATCCAAGATATAACATGCATAATCAGCGTCATAACAGTTCCTAGGATACAAACAACATCAGTATATGTATTAAGAACTTTTCCTTTTTACTTTACTTTACTTTCCTTATCGTACTTGACTCTTAACATATACTAGGTTAAAGCTTAACTGAATTCGACTTGTCTATGGAGTCATGACCTTCCCCTTCGGAACGAAGGTCAAGCTCAAACCAACTCGGGAGTTCCTCGTTGGGTGGGTGAGATCCCTGTCCCCTTCGGAACGACAGTTCTTAGATCCCCTTGTACACGTTTTTACCCGAACAGCCATTGGACCCAGCAGGTACCACATGCCTCTAACTAACTATACTTATGGCATACATTGCCACCATTCCATTCAGGTCATTTCCTAGAGTTCTTCTAGGTGATATATCCAACAATCATTAATCAATACATAACACCACATTCATAAATCCACAATGCATCTAACATGATATCCAACATAATCAAGTAACGGCCTAACACCGGGTGTGAACACCTATGTTTACCGTCATGCAACACACGGAGTCTCGAAATCAATCCTTGACGAAAACACAGATCGACGGACCCGGCATCAGGTACCAGACGGTACCTGTCACGGTACGGGGTACCGTCCATACGGTACCTGGGTACCGGTCCTACGGTACCTGGGGTACCGTCCGAACAATCTGGGCTCTTCCGGTAGGGCTGTCACGGTAGCCAACTTCCGACTAGGCGGTAGGGCCTACCGTCCATCCGGTACCTAGGTACCGAACGGTCACAGCTACCGACAGAGAGAACGTAATCATACAAAGTGTGACGGTAGCATGGTACCGTCCCGGTGGTACCGCCTACCGTCTGACGCAACAAAATCCACATTCATACCTGTTTCGTTTCCAGCACCAGACCAACAGAAATCTCACAACCACAAACACCAATAAGTTCATATTAACATTCTAAACATTATCAAGCCTATTAGTTCATCAATCAACGCCTAATCATGCATACTACCCTTTTGGGTTTAACGACAACAATCCCCGAAACCACAAACAATTATACAGATAAATCACACAGATCAACCACGATAACAATCATGAACGGAATTTCAAACCTAGATGCATATTCTAGTGTTAGATGTCCATGTACTCACCTCTATTCGTCGATTCAGTTCAGGAAACATCGTTCGGGTTTCATCGTCGAAGTAATCTCGCCTGGTGCCTGAACTCCACTGGTCAATGCCTGAAACTCCCATTGGACAGAGCTGGGAACTCCGTCACCGTTGACCTAGTCAACTCGCTAGAAAACATCGTGGTCAATCCCCTCACCGGTTCAATTGTTGCAGACAGGAATTACCCCCTGCTCAAATCCCGTTTCCAGAGCTTGGAGGTCGCTGATTCGCCAATCGGGTCACTGCCATCGCAGAGATCGCCGGAGTCACTGCCCAGGCGTCGTCGCCGGTCTGCCGCTGCGCTTCGGCGGAACAGACGTCGCTGCACACGGGGGGTCGCCGGCGGAAATCGTCACCGTCGCTGTTGGACTCATCGCCGGAGGGAGATCGAGGCCGGCGCTGCTCCACCCCATCGCCTCACCGCTGTGGATTTCCGTCGTGTTCTTGTTGTCGTGCTTGATTGGGTCACCGGAGAGGAGGATCGCGCCGGGAGGAGGTCGCTGGGCTCGCGTGGTCTTTCCCCCGTTGCTGTGCCGTTCGAAGAGAAAAACCAGAGCAGCTGCTGGCCGATTTGAAGGAGACGAAGAACAGTGCGTCGGGCCAACTTGCTCTGAGTAAAAACCAGAACATTGCTTAATTTAAAATAACCTGTCTGAGTAAACCACACTTTTCGGACCAACTTGCTCTGAATTTTTATAAGTTTGCGTCGTTGGATTCGATTCATCGATCCCTACCCAACTATATAATTTTTATGATCATTCAAACATTATTTAAAGGTTCCACTTGGTCCGTATTTATTCTCTTGCTTAATTAATACCGATCAGCCTTTTAATTTAAATATTCACAAATATAGTCAGATTAGTCTCGTTTTATTGAGACGATTTGAATCTCTAATATCTTTTATTCTTTTAATTCTTAAAAGAGTAGATTATCGTAAATAAATAATTATTATTTATTTAATTATCGATTAACTTCTAGACCGGTTTCTGTGGCGTTACACCCATTGCCATGCGGGACTTCCATTCTGATTAGCAGTGCTATTTTGGGCATTAATCACATATTCTAATGCTATTTCCGTACTTCTCCATAAATGATATTTATTTCCACTTTTTTTCTCTTTGTTTCTTTATAACAAAGAGACTTCCATATTTAGTCCTCTATCATCAAATATTACCTCTGTAGTTATTTTATGAGTGTTTTTCCATAAGTGATTCTTTTTTATCTCTGTCAAGTTGCTGTTAAATTACAAGTTGAAAATATAATTTGACGTCGACCCTATGTCAAGTGACGTATTTCAATATTTGTTAGATGAATAACATAAAAACAATGACTATGCTTGTGAGCTACACAAGGCATTATATATATGTGTGTATATATATATATATATATATATATATATATATATATATATATATATGGGCCGGTTCCTGTGAGAATGCACCTTGTGGAGATAAATGAGAATGAAATCTAGCCGTTGGATCTGATGCATCGTGCGGCTCAGATTGCATCCTGCGCTCAGATTTTGAGATAGTGCATTTTCAAAGAATTATGATGCATTTCAGCGTGATGCATTTTCAAACGATTTTGTTGCACCTAATTTTGATGCAATCCTGACCCTTAGATCGCACAATCTAAAGCACCAGATTCATTCTCATTTCTCTCCTAAGATCGCATTCTCACCAGAACCAATATATATATATATATATGGCCGATTAATAAAAATAATAAGTAAGAAATAGGTTGAAATATTTTAATATAACTCATGTATTAGTATAGAAGATTATAGAAGCTAAGCCTAGGATAATTAATATTGCAAGGCTCTATGTACTTTAAACTTGTCTTGGGCCATTAAAAAGTATAGAAATCACCCTAAGACTAAAACATAGAGAAAAGTACCAAAATATGATTTTCATGTTTGTTTTTCCGAAATAGGACTTTGCACTGTGGTAATGTGACTTTGACGTGCTGTAATGTGGCAGTATACATGTGCAAATTACTATACTTTTTTGGTAATGTATATGACCATGTATGGGAATGTAAGTCCTATTTTGTGAATAAAAACATGAAAGTTCTATTTTGGTATATTTTCAATTTTTAGTCCTACTTTGGTCTTTCTCCTTAATAAGTGGAGTACTAAATGCTTTGATGGTTGCCAAGTACACAGCCGTTTGAGTACATGTTTGAGTATGAAATTCTTTGATGGTATAAAAAAATACATGTATTAAATGGTTGGTTCCTCTTATGCTCATCAACCATGTACTGTAGCTGATAAAAAATATTTTATACTCCGTACATATCTTGGTTTTTTTAAATATAGACATAAAGAATTTAAAATTTCGAAATGCATATATTTCAAAATTTCATAATATCATATTTACTTAAATGTTACCGAGTACTCCGTATTAAGTAAAAAGTCTCTTACAACAACTGCTTTAAGTATTAAATGTTTTCCTCTTATGCAATTTCAACCATGTACATGCATTTAGAAATAAGACGTGTTTAGATTTCTTGGGTGATTAAAAATAGATGTATTAAATGCAAAGATCTTTTCAAACCCATCTCATCTCTAGTTTCTTTTTCCGAAGGATGTGTAATTACTTTACGGAAGCATACAATTTTTTTTTAAAAATATAGACATGAAGAATTTAAAATATTGAAATGCATATATATATATATATATCAAAATTTCATAACATCATATGTACTTATATCATAAATTAGTGGTTTTTAAATAATAGAATTTTTATAATTTCATAAAATATTACCAATTTTGATTGCATATAATAGGGCGAATTATATTGTACAACCGGCTGTACCTTATTTTCGGTACAACCGGCAATTAAATTAGGGGAAGAGAGTTGCGCCATCGCCTATTGCTTCGAAGTAGTCACCTAAAATTCCCGTCGGAGTTCACAATGGGTGAAATTGGCAATTGCCGAGGAAGAGAAGCGATCTGGAGATTGCGTCGAACTCGTTGGATCAGATCGGAATCCACATCGGTGGGGCTTGCGCAGAGAGTAATCTGCATCGGCGGCTGGATCTGGGGAGAAGCAATTGGGAGGATAGAGGACATACACGCAGGAGCAGGAGGGCCCAATAGATTTATATTTTCTAAATCTGAACCTAATGAAAGGTAAGTTACTTGAGAATGAACATTACCTTATTTGAGAATGAACATTACTTTGTTTAAGAATGAACATGATATTTTTCACAAATAAATATTATAATTATATTGAACAAAAGTGTAAAAATGAATACTACGCTATCTCAAAATGAGTACTTCGTTATTTTAGAACATGCTATTTCAAATTGAATAGTTATGTTTGTGCGAAAATAAGTACTATTCTACTTCAGAATGAGTATTACCTGGATGTACATATTTCTAAGTAGTTCTGGTTGTACCATATACCTTATCATATAATATTACTCGGTATCATTTAAAGATTTACTCCATCCGTCCCAAATTATTTGCAACGTTTGTTTTTTCAGCAGTCGCGGGAACTTTTATTTATTTCTACGTTTTCATTGGTTATTTGATAAAATAAAATATTCTTGACACCTCTTATTTCAAAGAACTTTTCATGTAGTTTTTTGATATATAAATTTTATTTTTTATTTCTATACCAATATGTAAATAAAATGAATTGAAAAAACTTGATATTTTACATCGAGAATACAAATGTGGCAAATTTTTAGGGACGGATATTTCCGAACGGAGGGAGTACTTTGTTATTTTAGAACATGCTATTTCAAATTGAATAGTTATGTTTGTGCGAGAATAAGTATTATTCTACTTCAGAATGAGTACTACCTGAATCTACTACGTATCATTTAAAGATTTAATTCGTTCATGATGATAAATCATGTCAACTTGGGATGTGATCCAACTCGAAATAAAGCGGACGATGTCACACCAGGGGATCTGGTCGGAGCGACCGAGCTTCTCCGACGAAGAACTCTCTCCTGTTCCTTCAAGTTTTTACAGAGGCTATGAAGCTGCTCTCGGAAGGCCGATGGGCGGCGCATCGGAGGAATCCAAATCGCCGAGAGACACACAGAAGGTCATGGGCACCCATACTGCGTCTACGGCGGACGGATCTTGCGTAAAAGATGTTGTGCAATTCTTTTTGAAAATTGGCCATTCCCAGCAGCGCTATGAGAAGTAAATTGTCCACCCCAAAACAAAAACAAAAAAAAAAACAACTACTAGGGATCGAGTTTTTGGCGGCGAAGACGAGATCTGCAGGTACTAATCCTTGAAGATCCAGAGGGAGTCGTCGAAGACGACGACGTCCTTTGATGATTTTGCTGGATAGAGAAGCCGAATGGGGAGGCGTTGCAGATAGTCAAAACCAGATCGGAGTTGGAATCGGAGATGGTGGCGGAGGGAATTCGCCTTCTCAACCGTGGCGGTGGTGTAGTGGCCGCCGGAAGTCGGGCTGCGGCCGAGGATGGCGGCAGTGGCCAGATGCTACGGCGATAACAACGGTCTAATCTCTCCTGACAGACTCCTCTGTCGTTTCTTTTCTTCTTCTAGACTTCTCTTTTAGCTTTTCTTCTCAATCCTCATCCTTTTTGAATGGATTTGGCTGAACCCCAACAGAAGAAGTGAAATTAAACATATCTTGCAGCAGCCACTGTAAATATTCCCGTGACAATGTTGAAAACAAATCCCATTTACAATGGGTTCATGTTCTTGCTAGTTTGCAATCAAAACCACACCTCACTGTTTTCCTCCTCTCTTTTCACAAGAATTGAGATTTTAAACACCATCTACCTCATTGGCTATTTGTTCGTGTCCCACGGGTGGCGCCAAAAAAACGGTGTAAATACATATCGTTTTTAGTCGGCAAAAATGATAAACTAGTCTAAAAAATATACCAAAATATAAAATAACAGGAATTTTGACGTGGAAACCCAAATCGGGACAAAAAATACGGGCCTTTTTTGGCAGTACCTTGCCAACGGGGCATTTTTATTAATATCAGGGGTTGTACATAGTACATGATTTAGGCTAGGAACCCATTAATGGAAGCTTGAAAGCTTATTGAAGAACAAAAATAATAAATATCTAGAGAGGGAAAGTGAGATGTGCAGGAGGAAGTGGATGTGGTCCCCTAACAATTAGGGCAACCCTCTCTTTTATAGGAGAGAGTGGGAGCATATACGGAGGAATATTCTCTTATTTCTCTATTTTATTAAACAGACCCAGTTTGACTATTCTTCGTAAATAATTGAGAAATGTGGGCCGAGCCACGTATTATTTCTCATCACTCTCCATAAAGTGCAAGCCAAACGGTTGCCTGTGCAAATTTCTTTCATTAATTTATTTTTTTTCACATTTACTCTTATGTGCCATTTATAAATAAATTCTCATACTCATGATCCTCAAGTGTTATCTCCATAAGTTTCTCTTCTCCACCTCTTTTTATGTGTGTTTGAACTTTCGAACGCTCAACAATTTTTCTTATCACATCTGCAACAATTGGAAAAGTTTAATTTTTGCTTATATACGTGATGTATGTAAAACTTTGAAGGCGTACGCGGTGAAATTGCTTTCAAAAAATATTTTTACCAATGAGAAGTTGGTCATTTAAACAGGGCTGTGCTTGAATGCTCGAAAAAGATTTTAAGTCGAACTTTGATTTGCGAAAGTCCTTTTCGCTCAAAGTTTTCACTTCGGTCTTCGCGTAAAAAACCAACAAAAATTTATGAGAGGTTGTTTTGCATGAAAGGTAATTGTCATGAACAAAAACATTTCAAATTCTAAAAACGCCACCTTGCACGATCTGGTTTTCAAAACGCTCCTTTTCAGGTTTTTAAAGATGAGCATGTATCCTCGTCTTTGATAAAAAACAAAAAGAACCAGTCCCCATCATTGTAAATACGGGAATATTGTGAAAAAGAATTGGAAAAAACAATTTACATGTTCATAATGGAAGATGACTTCCATGGAATCACCTCCCTTTGTCCAAACGGGAACATTGTAAATGCGCATAGCTCGTAACTTTAGCATTCATGTCGTGCGAGTGTTATCAATTTTGTCAAGGAAGTTCCACATCACGATTTGTGGTTTTTTGGACATGTCGAAAGAAACGGTTGTGCAATATCTACTCTTTACGGGTATTTGAAGAAAAGTATTAAAGAATGGTATGTATAAATGTGTAATATGGTAATATATATACTTGGGCTTAGAAGACAACTCAAACTACCATATTTAATGTCCATGTACTTTAAAGATTTTTTGAATCTATTCAAAAAAATTGGAATGAGACATAAAGTCAAAGTAGAGTACAAAGTCCGAGGTTGCTTTCCATCATGCCTAAGGGTCCGTTCCGTAGGACTTATTTTTTCTACTTATTACTTATTCTTATTAAAATCAGATCAGATCCAATCAGATCAGATCAGATCAGACTCAATCAGATCAGACCAGATCCTATCAGATCAGATCAGATCAGATCCAATCAGATCAGACCAAATCCAATCAGATCAGATCAGACCAGATCAAATCCAATAATATCAAATCAAGAAAAAATATAAAAGATAATATTTATTTTTTTTCAAGGATTAAATAATAATTACTATTATTTGATTAAATCACATTACTTTATTTAAAACTACACACACCTAAATCTTAATTAATGTTATAATTTCAAATATTATTGTTTTTATATTATTATTATTATTATTATTATTATTATATTTCAACTACAAACCATTATTTTAAATAATTGTTTAGCTTGTAGGATAGAAATGATGCATGGAAGCAATGTTAAAGCTAAAAGTTTTATTTTTCATACTTTAAAAAGATTTATTTTAAAATACTTGTTTATAAAATAATTATACAAAACTTTGTTTTCAAAACTATAAATATTTTATACTTAAAAAGACTTACTTTTAAACTTTAAGATGGTATAATATACACAAGGGTGAATTTAGGACAAAATTGATAGAGGTGAAAGCAATATTAGTGTTTAAAATTTTATATATCTTTAATTTGTAACATGAAATATATTATTATGTAATATGTACATACAATGTGATATTTTTGTAGAATAGCATCAATATTTTCTAATATTTGTTTATTTTAATACCGATTATTTAGTTTTCATAAAAATTAAAAAATTTGTGATATTGAAAAGATGTTTAATATTTAAAAAAAATTAAACTTATTAATGATTAGCTGATTTTTTTATTTTACTTTTTTTTATGTATATATGAATTGTAATACTTTAAAACTATTAAATTTTGTAATAATTTTAAGTTTAATTTAAATCAAATTTAATTTCATTTACACCAGATCTAATCAGATCAGATCAGATCAGATCAGATTCAATCAGATGAGATCAGATCCAATCAGATCAGATCAGACCCAATTAGATCAGATCAGATTTAATCAGATCAGATCAGATCTAATCAGATCAGATTAGACCCAATCAGATTAGATCAGATCAAAACTTCAAAAATTCAGATCAGATTCAATCAGATCAGACGTACGGAACAGAGCCTAAGCCGACCTATATGCCTACATTCCCACATTTTTTACATCTTTAAAGCCTCAAATTTGGCCATAAATTCGCAGCCCACTCGCAACGCAATTGGCCCAATAAAAAAGGGGGAACCTTATTCATTTTAGTTTCACACCTTTGTATATTACTCCTTTCGTCCATGAGTGTTTGTCCACTTTTGACTTTTTTCGGTCAAAATTGGTAAACTTTGACCTCAAATTAAATAAAAATGATATTTGATATTGATACAAAAAGGGAGAAAGACCAAAGTAAGACTAAAACATTATATTGAAAATATACCAAAATAGGACTTCCATGTTTTTATTCCCGAAATAGGACTTACATTACCAAACATGGTCATATACATTACCAAAAACGTATAATAATGTGCACATGTACACTGCCACATTACCACAATGCAAAGTCACATTACCACAGTGCAAAGTCCTATTTTAGAGAAAAAAACATGTAAGTCCTATTTTGGTACTTTTCTCTATGTTTTAGTCCTATTTAATGTGATTTCTAATACAAAAATAGTTTTATTAGATTTATTATATCAAATATTTTCAAAATATTATTTTATTTAATTAAAATATAATATATATTTTATTTAATTATAGGTCAAAGATTGAAAACAGTTGATCGAAAAAAATCAAAAATGGATAAATACTCAGAGATAGAGGTAGTATAAGATAAGATGAGTGCACTAAATGCACTCATTTATAGCCTTCATCTGAGTGTAGTTAATGAAAAAGAAAAATGCTAGGGGTACACCAAAGGTGTACCCCATTTGTTTCCCACCCCTTTCTCCACCACTCATTTTTACCTCATTTTTATTTATTTAATTTTTTTTAAATTTCTTGCCCATTTTTGTGGTAATGGAGGGGGTAAAATTGTGTGTGTGTTGAAAATGGACAAATACTTAGAAAAATCAGAAAAATACGTAGTACTCGGTACTTAACAAATCTAAGTTCGAAATTTTCTAATGTGTGGTGTGTTGATGTATATTTGTTGCAGGAATTTTAATGTGATGGGATGTTGTACTTTAAGCAATAACTAAAAAGAGTAAAGTTTTTGGGGAGAAATTTTTTTTGAGCTTAGTATTGATGAGGCAAATTCGTCTACTTGGAGACAATCAATCTCAGGGAGTCACGGAGCACATCCAAGGTGCTTGATGAAATGTCCCAACCATTCCAGCAGAGGTTTTCACTTTTTTTTTTCCACCCAATGTCCATATTCCACTTCACTTTAATTGGTGATTCGCAACCATAATTACATGTGTGGTATGTTGAGTGCAGGTCCAAATCTATAGCCCCTTTTGGTGGAATCTAATTTGCCAAAATGGCATCATCTTTCAGAGTTTTTGCCAACAAAAGAATTCTGAGTTTTTGTTTTTTAAATGTGAGAATTGTCCTTTTCATGTTCTCTTCTTCCTCAGGATTAGTGACTTCTAATAACACTTTCAGTTCTTGTTCTGAAAGATATGTGTTCACAGACATAACTCTGATTAGAATTTCAAAAAGGACCAACCCCAATACGTTCACATACTTTTTACAAACAAAAAATGGATTCATCCTTGATGTCTCTCAACAAATCACTTCTTTTTGTGGCCTCCTTTTCCCTTGTTTTTCTTGCATGTATTCCTTTTCCCTTGCTGCTGCTGCTGCTTGCCCTGATTCTTCTTCCCATTCTCCGAATCCATCGCTTTATCATTACCCTCGTCATCATCATCATCATCATCGTCTTTGGTGTCATTTTCATTTCCGGGCAGTTTATCACTCTCAGACTCCACAACGCCTCTGCCCTCGGTCACAACGACACTGCCCAAGAAACCTTCCACTTTGGGCTTCAACTTTGACAACCTCTCATGCACTTCTGCAACCGTCTCGCACCTCTTTCCCTCCTCGTCCCCATCATAACTGCAAATTTTGTTCTTCGCGTAAAATTGCCTTTTTTCGTCCAGGTCCTCCTTCAAACATATACAGGAAGAAAAAGAAAACAAAATTCAGCATTGAATTCGATCTGTACAACAGAAGACAAGAAATGGGGGCAATAGTTCCATGGGAGTTTTGTTATTTTACCTTTAACTTCACAAAGTCAGAAGCTTCATCCAAAACAGCCCGTTTCATTGGCAAACTGCTTCGCTCCACCTCGCCTTTGGGTTCTAGATTTTGCATGGGGGCTTTGATGTCCGGGGAAGATTCTTCCATCACAGAACTCCTCTTGCCATGATATACACTCAGGGGAAGCAGACAGCATGAGTTCTTAATGGCATCTTGTTTTTCTTCTTGCCCAGCTGAGGCAACTCTTTCCCTCCTGAACACCATCTCCATGATGTCCTCTCTACAAGAACTTACGTTGATTTGTATCGGAATAGTGTAGGGGCACACAGATTTTGGAGTATCTTGATTCAGGCACACAAGAAAAGCAGGATTCCCTATGGCTCGGAGAGCAACAGCAATTCTCTGTTTGTCTACATATACTTTCCCCCCTCTTCTAAAAACTTGAGTGAACTCTAGTGGAAGGTCACGCGAAACATATTGGGTATTAAGTACGTGGTTGAGAAAATTGACGGGTTCAAGAGAGTCATAATTCATGCAGATTGTGCAGAGAATAACCACCAGCCTCAAAACCAGCGATTCATGATACTCGCGAGATTTAACTCCAAACTTCCCAACCCATGCACCTCTCTCAAGATTCTTGAAGAGGAGGTCATGCAGGATGGGAAGAATGGAGTCGTACAACATGTAAGGCTCTGGAGGTGGGAAGCTGTAAGTGACAATGGCATCTAGTTTCTGAAGCATCAGCCACTCCACTAAAGAGGACTTGGTTGTGTAAAAGGTGGGATTAGAGCAGAAAACCAAAATCAAGAAACGCTCCACGAGATATAAGAAGCAGTGAGGTGAAATGTAGTCATTCATGTTGCGCCAGTAGACTTGATATGTATCTAGCAAAGCTTGAAGGAACCCATGAACCAACTCCGTTGGCTCTTTCTCGCTTCTTAGACTCTCTATGAAAGCCATCCATGCGGAATCACCTCTTATTCTTGACATCACCTTGTTGCACAGTTGATCTGCAGGTTTGGCAGAGCCAAACCATATCATCACAAATCGCCCGATTTGCCCAAGGGTAGCAGGTCCACCTTTCCTACTATGATCACGGCTGATATAATCTTCAAGTAAACATTGGGAAACATCAGTCCCTCGCAAAGAAATCATCTTTTCTTCTATAGATATCCGGAAATGAATAGGAAACACAGTATCAAAGTACCCCATCGATTGTTGGAAGAATTTGTGTAGCTTCGCCTCATAATTCTTGCTGTTGTTTAACTCCTTGGACCCAAGAAGAAACTTTGAGATCCGATATATATTCATAAGGCACATGGTCTGTCTAAGCACATAGAATGACTGCATGGAAATGCTACCGTAAAGGGAATTCAGCATTTCCAGAACTTTGACCCCTACAGAGACCACTTCATTCTGCCAGTAATTCCGAGCAACAAGTATGAACTGTCCCTCATAATTGAGAACATCTGGTTATCCTCCCTAATGAAACTCTTATTCACCTTTGTAAACCATTCAGCATCAGGATTTAAAACGACATAGCTGGCTTTCGTATCAGTGAACTGTCGCCTCACACCAAAATAGGCCAAGCAGAACTCACCAATGCCACTATGTTTACCAAAATCTTGGGTTACCTGAAGACAACGGAGGGATTCAAGAATGTCAAATACATTTTTCTTCCATACATTCCAAAAGTGACAGAGGGATCCGACAGAGAGTTGGTTACAGAACATTGTATCATCCGGGAAATTCAAGTCAACCGGAAACTCATCTTCCCATGAATAACTTGCTGCTCCGACTTCAGTGTGTGCATCCATAATTTTCTTGAGACATAAAATTTCACATGTAACACTCCCACAGTTCTCAGAAGCACTTAGAGCACGCCTCAATTCACACATATTGCTTTGGTTGTGCTCCAACACCTTTGCCTCAGTACAAACAGACTCATAGAAAGGATCAGATTCATTCCTTGCAAATGAGATGGCCTTCTTCAATAGTTCATCCTTGGACTCAAAAGACTTTAGGGGCCATGGCTTGCCTCCAAGAACCCACAAAGAGTTGGATAATACATACCAAAGGATATGTGAGGTTGCTTTGATGAAATTCCCACCTTTGCTTAGAAGCTCCACCTCTAGTAGGATATCCCCTTTCAGTATAGCAAGTTCGGCAGCTTCAACAAAATTTCCAGCTTCTTCTTCCAAAAGTAACAAGTCATCCAGAAAATGCTGATTCTTTAAGAACCTCCTCTTATCGTCCATTGACTTAAAAGCTTTAACGAACTTCATCATCGATCTCTTATCGTTGCTCTCTAAGTAATCAGATGCACACCTTTCCAGAAATTCCTGCTCAATTCTATCTATTTCTTTTGCTCTTTCATCCATGTCATTATGATGAGCAGCATTTTGTTTCCATTGTTCTACATATTGAAATCCCACGTCATAAAGGTGTCCGATGCGGCAAACTGATAAACACTCTGAGAAACAGTTTTGCTTTGCATATATTTCTGCGGCAGTTTCATAACGTCCTGCCAATGTAAAACACTCGGCAGCCTTTTTCTGCTCACGTTCACCACATTTCTTCAAGTACATAGTTCCTTCATATAGATGAAAAATACAAAAATTAACCACTACAATTCAAATGCAAGTAGAAGTATGGGTCATTACGAAAAAATTGAGATATAATTACCTGCATGTTCATACTCCTTCAAGTCACAGAAACATTCAGCAGCAGACTTGAACCTCCCAATCGACTCAAATATTTCAGCAGCTTCCCTAAGATTAAAGTTAGAGGCCTTGGGATTTGAATCTTGCATCCGGTAAGCAGTTTCCCGGATGCTGGAAGCTTTAGCTTGCTTCTCAAGCGTCCTTTCTCCTGCTCTTTCAAAACACATGATAGCCATTTCATAATTTTTCTCCCAAAGAAGCTGCAAATCATAATAAATGCCACAAGTGTTAGAGAAATGTGATTTAAAAATCTAAACTTTTTGGAATAGATTCTTGCATCAAGCATATAAACAACATACTCCTCTTGTCCATAGTTATTAAGGCGTCGCTTAGGCGCTATGAGATGGACGCCTCACCGGAAAACACCTAAGGCGATGAGGAACTCTTTTTTTTAATAAAGTAACTCTCCCTCTCCATCTCCATCTCCCTCCCCCTCCCCCTCCCCACACAGATTTTGTAATGGCCTGCTTGGAAAATTTAAATTTGGATTTCAAATTCAGTTTTGTCCCAAATTACATGTTTGGGAATTCAAAAATTGGATTTGGGTCAAATTCATCTAATCTGCAACAAGATGAATTACAAATCCATACACTCCCCCTTGTGACAAATGAATTCCTAGTTTCCAAACACTGACAAAAGTTGTGCCTCCCATGTTCCAAAAACAATGTGACAAAGGAAGTCTATATCAAGAATAGCATAAATTCAAATTAATACTCTGTATTAGAAAAGGAGAGATCAAGTTACTTTTAGTCCGCGAGATTTCCATTGCTCGGGGGTGCTTGCCAAGCGCATAGCTTGTGCAAGAGATTCATCAACATCCCTTACTTCCACAAGCCCCAATTTCATCCAGTAATCAAACATGGGTTTTGAAAGCTCCTCAACACGTTCACAGATCCATAGTCGTTGCCTTGTCCGAGTTACAGCGACATATAGCTGCTTCAGTTCAGAACACATGATTGCGTGCCTCGCTTCAGTAAAACATGGGAAGCTCTGTGAAAATCTTGAGTCGAGCAAATCATGGTCTTTCATAAATTCATACACTACTCTCCACTGACTTCTCAGTGGTGAAGTACCAAAAAAGTTGTAAAGCAGCACGTCCTACAAAAACAGAGCAGTGGTCAGTTTTGCTTTTTCAAAATGACCGAAAGAAAGACATCAAGAGAAGTTTGATGTTCCATTTTGATTTGGTTCATTATGTGCCCGAAACTAAAACACTGTCAATAATGACTATGACCAATAGTCCAATACATCGATCTTTGTTTTAAATACCACAAAAATGTATAGTTACAGAAGCTAATGATTTGAGAGATGAATAAAACATTCCAATGAAAGTGAAACTCTTTTCTCAGAACGAAGGTATAAAGACTGGTGACAGATCTGGAAGAGAATTCGAAAGATTAAGAAAAAGAGTATGAATCATGCGTCTTAGTTTGGCTCTCTTACTTGAAACTCCAATCCTTTGCATTCAACTATAGTTAGAATAAGTGCTTGTTTTCCAACAAGATGAGATACTTCCTGCTTGGCAGACTCATCACGCACTAATATCACTTGTTCGGCGCCAAAGCCTACCATCTTCCCACTAACGGCGCTCCCACTGTTCCCAAAGATAGTTACAATGGCATTTTCATGGCTTCCTTGTCTGAGCAGCACTGGGGCCTCACCATATATAAGACTACTCTCGGGTTTCAAAGCATCAATGGAGAGAGGGAAATAGTGAGAAAGTATATCGATCACACTCTGTGCAAGCTTAAGAACGCCAGCATGTGTGCGGAAGTTCTGAAGTAAACATGAAACTGCAGCAAGATGGCCTTTATCTCTACGTGTAGCATGTCGGCCACCTTTCATGACAAACTCTTCATAGAATAAAGTCCGCACATCTTCGAACCTAAACTCTATCCCCCTAGCAATGGTCTGGGCTGTATCCCCAGAAAATACAAATCCTTCATCAACATTATGGCAAATATATTTGAACAGTGAGATCTGTCTCATGGTAAGATCTTGAACTTCGTCAATGTATACAAAATCCATTTTGTCACCCTCCAGAATTTCCTCAGCCAACCGAATATGGAGGTCATTCACTAAATCAACCAAGTCAAATTCGCACCGCTCCATCTTCATTTTTTCGTAATCAAGAAAGATATCATAAATTTCTTGTCTCTTCTTCTCATTCAAAGTTGATGCCCTATTCTCAGACATTGAGACGTATTTCTCGCGGATGAGTTTAGCATTGTGGGGCCCACACACTCGTAGTCCTCCTTTTATGTGTGAAATGATTTCGGTGAACACCCTTGCAGCATCGTGACTGTTTCTCAACTGGGAGTTGAAACGAGGCCAATATAAGCAACAAAAGCGGTCAAAGTTGACCTCCTTCGTTCTTATGAAAGTCTCCACGGTGGTTACCCTCGTGTCATGGAAACGGTCAAAATATGATGTCTGCAATGTTCCATCAAGCATCATCAAGAACTTACGGAATGTAACAACCAGGGGATATTTGCTTTCTGGAATGCCAACAAAAGAATCTGGAATGTCTTTGAAATGAGACAATCCATCCAAATCATCCATCATATCAATCAGACTGCTCTCACCAGAGAATGTTTTCCCTTGAGCAAAGCTGCAGGCACATTAAAGGTTCAATGTTGTTAGTTACAAAGAGCACTTCTTCAACTATCTAAACCGGTTATAAAGTATTTCTCCAACTAGAAAATTTGTTTGGATAGAGACAAGTAAAACTACAATCACAATACAGCAAAACTTATGAGGGTGTCTAGAGGATAAATACCCGTAGTTTCTTGATCAAGCAGTAAAAAAATTATAACGAATAAGCAAATCCCAGTAAATAAATACCCGTAGTTTCTTTTTACTCTGAATTCAACTTTTGGATATAGATCTTAGATTTGAGAGTAAGTAAATAATGAATGTTCAAGCTCACCATTTCAAATGAGAAACTTGTTGTTTGACAGCATAGCATAGCTTTGGACTAACAGTAACAAAAAGCTGCCTTAGGGTGCTCCTCTTGGCCGCGATTTCAGATTGACAAGCCGTTGCAGTCTCAGCACTTGCAAAGTCATTTGTCTCCACTTCTGTGACGCCTCCCATGGCCGCCAGGTGGTGTTGTTGCTCTTTTTGAAACAACTTCATGGTCAAAACTGTAGTTTTACCTGTGCCGGATCTGCCCAGTATGAAACTACTCCTAGCCGATCTGATAATCTCCTTTTCCTCATCTGTGACTTCAAAAGGGATGTCAACTTCTTCACCAAGATTGTCTGACAGCAAATGGTTGACAATGCCAGACGACAAGGAGTAAAATTTCATCAAGAGTAAGCTCTCACTCACTCTTGAATTTTCAATGTAACTTCTGCCCTCCACCACACCATCATTTGAGTTATCAACCAATCTCTCGCTAAGACTCTTGAACCTTACCAGATCTAGAGAAGCTGGCCAAACTTTTGGAACTTCCAAGTCCCTAGGCAAACAAAAATAAAAAAATAAAAAAATAAAATAAAAAGCAATTTAGAAATTAAAAATATTCTCACTAGTAATAGTGGTATGCAGGAACCAACATACCCATCGAGGGACTTCTGCGTGCACAAATTGATAAAATCATCAGTATACATAGCGAATATGCTGTCAAGTCGTCTCAACAACTTTCCAACCTCATCAAGAGGCAATAAATCCCAGGCCCTCAAAACTTGAGTGTATTTGAACTCTTTCTGAATGTCAATTGTGCAGACTACAAAAAACCCTTCAACCTTAAACTGCTTCACAATCTGTGATGAGCTTTCACACACCGAGTCCACTCCTTTTCTTTTCGGCCTCCATCCCCCGGCCAGTTTAACTAAAAGGTTAAGCACTGACTTTTTCAAATGGACTGACCCCAAGCTTCGGTACGATCTTTTGAAATTGTCACTCAATAGGACCTAACCACGATGGAAGGGGGAAATAATAACTTAGCTCAGAAACGGTATCCCTATTGCTAACAATAACATCTGGCCACAAAGAAACATGAAAAAGATTAAGAGTATCAAACTTTTACGAGATGAAATCCGTGAAAGATGAGCAAAATTGTAAATTTTTAAGACAGAAATATTGATCAAATATCATTTTTAGAACTTATTTCAAAAGGCATGTACCTTGAGTTGAAAGCATTAAGAACAAGATACATATTATATATCAATTTCAACAACCAATGAATTAAACTTGTTAACTACCCTTTACCAAAATATAGAAGTTAAACCCCCCCTTCACTTCCCACAAATTTATCCAAAAAAGGCATGTTTTCCACAACAATTGGAGAAAGCAAATAGGTTGTATTGAATGACCAAAAACAAGCAAATTTATTCGCAAATAGAATTGCAAGAACTATATCTGAATTCTAATCAAGTAATGATATAAAACTGATAAGAATGAATGAATGAATGAATAAATGAGCCACTCTTACATTCCATCTTTGATTTTTGAACAAGATGCTGTCTGCATTAAGGAGGTCATCAAATTGATCCAGTTCTTTCTTGACATCCAAAATAGTTCTCGAAAGATCACTATCATCTCCAGCAGAGAAGATGCATTTACGTTTCTTTGCATCTAGAACTAATGCTTTCCAAACAGAATCGCTGTCAACCAGCGTCCTTTCATTTCCCATGATCCATAAACAGTGCCTACAAGAAACATAAGAAATGATTAAATGGCTCAGGTAACATTACTTTCAAATTTGAAAAGGAAGAAGAGTACACGTACCGGGCTCTGGTCAGGGCAACATTAGTTCTTTGCAAACTAGACATAAAACCAATAGTGCCAGCACGATTGGATCTCACAGTTGATAGTATTATGATGTCCTCTTCTCCACCTTGGAAACCATCAACAGACTTCACCTTAATTGCAAAGCCATTAAGGTTGTCGTACCTTCTGCCAATTTTGTCTCTTATGGCAATAACTTGAGCAGCATAGGGTGATATAACGCCAATGCTTAGTTTAGTTCCCGTGTTACGCCAAACTGGGTAAATATTTTTGAAAAAAAAAATTATAGTTAGAACATTACACGATAACCACTAAACTGGGCAAATAACATTTTGGAAAAAATAAAAATAGTTACAGTAGAACATTACACTATAAGTCAAAGAAATTGCAACATTACTACAAAGCAGTGAAATGAATAAAGGTATATAACACTGGATTACTGGAACTGAAAGAAAAATATGTACTCATGATCACTCTAAACCAAACTATCACTCTCCTATTTTCAGCACCAGTGAGTGTAAAAAGAGTTGATATAAAAGAACCAATGAACCATTATATGCTCGGTGCCATTAAAGCCAAACTTTATTAGAGCACTAAACTATAATGATATCAACACTTTCTAGAAACAAGTGAGCAAAAATCAAGCTTTGGGTATTGTTGAACCCCCAAAAAATGAAAACAAAAAGTAAACCAAAGGGTAGACTCACTTTTGAACAACTTCTGCACAATCTTCATTACTAACGCGACCTCAACCATATTTCTTCTGCTATGCCCTATATCATCAGATTCTTCCTTTCCACTGGGGACATTTATAAAAGAATATGGACCAAACATTCTCCCCTGAAGATACTCCCTCTCATAGGTTTTACATTGCACATTTGGAGCATCTAGAAGTTGATTGTGATAGAAGCTCGAATTCGGGAAGCGGCTTATAGCAGGATGCATTCGGTACTGCACATTTAGCATAAGCTTTGGGTGACCTAAGGAACTTAGCCTTTCAAACAAGCTTCATCCCAAACCTGCCTCCCTAGACACCTATAAACAAATGCCCATGTGTTTAGGTGTGAGAAGGTACACAGTGAGTAGATGAAAGACACTAGTAAGAATTAAAAGAGAATGGAATGCTCACTTTGCTATGAACAATTGCAGGTAATTGGCATTCGTCACCTACAAGAACTGCATGCTGCAAACCTGGAAGTTGAAGTGCTATAATTGATTCACATTCCCTCATCTGAGCAGCTTCATCAATCACCAATAAGCTGAACGGTTCCATCTCAACCGAGTGCATCCAAAAAGAACTTGAAGATGTGCAGAAAACCAAGGATGCTGACTGTAAACAAAATTTCTTAACCGATGCCTCATTTAAGGAACTGGGAAGAACAAGTTCTCCAAGCGAGCGTACAAGGAATTTAAGAATGGAGACACATTGCATTCTTAAGCAGGCCAATGATGGTGCATCTGCATCAGATCTCGTACATCTGCAGGAATTTAAGCTTGAAGATGTAACTTCTGAGTTTACCGGCTGTGAAAAAATTTCTTTCAGCTCTTCATCAGATCTCGTACATAAAGTTTCTTTCAAAGAATCCAGAAGGAAAATCAGGGAGATCATTTCTTGGAAATTACTTTCTTGAATCAAATGCCTTGGTATGTGAGTACACATTATTGACATGCATCTTCTGAGCGGTGACACTACGCCCTCAACCCGTGATTTCAAAAAATCAGCAAACGATATAGGTTCTGCGCTTTCCTCCAACGGTTCGCCCTTCTCAGTTAATGCTCTCATTTTTATTAATTCATTCTCCAAGAAGATTTCATGGTCAGAAACACAGTCTTCAAGAAAAGAAATTGCAGAACGAATGCAATGTCTCCAGCCAGTCAGTGGGCCAAAACACTCAGCAAGCCTTTTAACACGATAATCTAGAAAGATATCCTCAATGTATTCACCCAGTTTCAACCTGTCCTTGTTTCCATATAGGATAATGTCACCCAACGGATATAATATATTCTCCTTTGAAGATTCCTCTTTGTAAGAGTCCTGCAGCAGCCTTATCACCCTAGAGGCAACTTGTGTTATTGCCACGTTTGTTGGTGCACAAACAAGTGTTCTACACTTTCTTTTAAAGAGCATGAACAGAAGTATGCTAATAGTACTTGTCTTCCCAGTACCGGGCGGGCCCCATATAAGATCAACGTGAGAGATTTGGTCACATCTCACCCTTTCAAGACATGTGAGTACGGCATTAGCTTGGGATTCATTCAGCATGGCCAACAAGCCATCGTCGATCTTCTCAGTTGATGATCCTATTTCATCATGTGGAGAGCATACATCACATTCCTTCTCAACCTATAATCATCAATGCGATAAAGAAACGTCAATCAAAGTCATAAAAGGACTACAAAGAAACCAAGAAGTACTGTTAAATTTGGATGATGGAACCCCCAAATGGGAGCTAACTATCACCGGGATGACATGGCTTAATGAAGAAGAGATACTTTGGTAAGAAGTGAGGTTAAATTCAAATTCAAATATTAGTAAACCGACAATATCACCAACCTCGTCGCTTGTGTACAAAACACTCTCAATAATGTTCAAATTCTTAGTCATTCCCAAAGCACTCCAAATCCTTTTAGTTGTTGTGAAGTTTTCCAAGAAAACAATGTGGATCGTGGCATGGGCTCCAATCTTGGATCCAAAATCAGTAGGCATCTTCACTTTGAAACATGTGGACGAATTCCCATCATCATCATCATCAGTAACATTAACAACCAAAGCAAATGACCAATTCCACCCCGCACGGTTCAAATCAGAAACCGCCTCGGGGTTATTGTCTGAGATCACCACCAAGTCTCCCGGCATTGTTTTGTATTGTTCCCCTTCAGCACTAACTCTTCTCTTCCAAAACTCAACCTTGACGTTGTAATGAAAACCGTTCCCGTGCCCTTTTGTCTCTTCAAATGAGATGACTTCTGCAAATGGGGCCTTACCCATTGCATCCATAGAAGAAGCCAAAACCTCGCGAACTTCTACGAGCAGAGGAAAGGTGTAACAACCTAGATAGTGCTTCCACGAACAGAATGTATCCGGAATCTTCTCGACCTACGAGTGGAAGACAAACAAAAGCTCAATGGAGATGAAAATCATAAAGAGCAAATATAGGAGTAAGAGTATGGAAACAACAAATACAGATGAAAATAACAACAAAAACAACTAGTGACTGCAGGCCATTTTGTTGGTTGGAAGTGAAGTGATACCTGGTATGTGTAGAGGTCATCATTGAAAATATCTTCAAGAGACCATGAGAAGACCATATCAATGACGTCATTGTTAGGCCAAACTCGACTCTTCACAGAGGAAACCCCTCCCTCCATTTTGCCAAAAACTCTCAACAGATAGCAACAAAAAAAAAACCCCTGAATCTGAACAAGTTCTTGAATCCCTAACTAAGCCTCTCCAGAAAGGGCCACAAGTAGAAAAACCCAGAAAATCTGATCAAACAACAAGAGCAAGCGCATGAAGAAAGGTTGTATTTTGCATGTAAATGCACAGAGAAATCAAGGGTCTAAGAACTGGGCTTTCTTTGCAAGGAACTAAAATGAGCCAAGATTGCATTTTTGGAAACAAAAACGAACCAGCTTATAGAAGGCCCCCAGCTTATATGATCAAAACCCAGAAAGAATACAGTACTACTAGAGGAGAGAAAATGTTGGGGAAAGGGATTCTTGGAGATGGAGTGGACGTTTAAAACGTATGGGGGCATGCACTAGCTACTATTTAGGTGGTATTATTAGTTTGGGTACTGCAACTGCAACCAGCCAGAGAGTGGATACTAACTAGAGTAAGAAATTGAGCGGGAATAGAGGTGGCTAAAGGTATGCCAAAGATTGAGTGGAAACTACCAAAGATTGTACTCCGTATCCCAAGTTGTACACTTACTAGTAATTTGATACAGACTACTCCCTCCGTCCCGGAGTATTCGTTCACTTTTGACTTTTGGAATTGTTCATTTAAGCACTTTGACTCATCAAATTCTCTCAATGTGTAAGCCTAAATATAGTAATGTGTGATCTTGTTTGATTTGTCTTAACATATAGATTATTCATATATAATTTCTATAATTTTTTAATATACAAATTACAAGATAAAATAGATTAAAGAAGTGTATTGGATGGTGTGTAAAAATGAAAGTGGACAAATACTCTGGGACGGAGGGAGTATATTGTTTAAATATATATTCGCTCCATCTTCAATTTGATTACAAATTAGGGTTTATGAAGAGAAATTTCTCACTTTTTAAAATCATTTTATTTACAAATTAGAATATAGATAAGAAATAAAAATTACATATTAATAAACTAAGTCAAAATTTTAACAAAATAAGAGGTGACAAGAATATTTTATTTCATCAAATACTTAATGAAATCGCGTAAACAAACAAAAGTTTTCTAGAGGAGAGAGAAAAAAATTGTAATCTAATTCGGGACGGAGAGAGTAAATTTAATTTTTTATGTCAATTTGTAACTAAAAAAATTTAAAAACTACGAGATTTTACCCGTTGTTCAAATAGAGAATACTCCGTATTTTATTAAGACCAGTGAACATTTTAAATTATTCCTGCATATAATTTTTTTGTTATTAAGAGAAGCAATGATACTTTAGTAAGCAACTATATCTTCTAAGCATTCAACATCTAAAGGAATGGTGTATGACTGTATGAGTTTTAGGAAGCAGTATATGGAAAAAGAATATGAAAATATCAAAATAAAAATCATAAGCTTTACAAAAATAGAATTTATACTGCAATTGTTACACTGCTACACTAACCAATTGTCACACTGTAACTCACACACTATCACTGTCACACTACCATTCGTCGCCACCGACAATCGGGGTGCCGCTGTTGATGGCCGATGGTTGATTGTCCAAAATAATCCCAAATTTATCTTGTGTTTCAAAAATAATCTTACTTTTTATTGTGATGCATAATAATCCAAATTTTATTAGAATTTGCGAATTTTGGGTCGCTGTTAAGTTATTAACGGCGAGTTGACGGAAACACATGTTTTGCGCAACAAAAGGAAAGTTTGGATTATTTTTTATGAATTTTCGTTTTTTTTTAATTTTTTGAAAGTTTAATTTAAATTTTTAAAATTACTTTCTACCTCCATCATTTCTATATTTTAAATATTAGTCTAACTTTGGCTTAAAATAAAAAAATAGATATAAAAAATAACGAAAACTGAGAAAAATAACTAAAATCATACAAAATTAATGAAAACAAAAGCAATCAATAGAAATTAACATAAAACTATACTGCACGTCCATTTTCTCAACAATTTATTTTCAATACACTTTATTTGAGAACTGAGACAGAATTTAAGAATAAAATTTAAAATTTTAAAAATTAAACCAAATTTTTATAAAATAAGACGTGACATAACTATATTATTCTATCAAATAAGTAACAAATATAAACTAATTGAATTTTGGCTATGCCATTAGTAAACATATTACTCCCTCCGTCCCTAAATAGATTACAATTTTTTTTTTCTCTCTTCTCGATAACTTTTACTCCCTCCGTCCTATATCTTTCTTCCCGGTTCGCAAAACGAAGAAAAATCTCAAGTTTTTTCAATCTATTTTATTTAAATATTGGTATACAAATAAAAAATAAAACATACATATTTAAAAACTACATCAAAAGTTCAACAAAACAAGTGGTGACAAGAATATTTTATTTTATCATATAGGCCATGAAAAAACACAAATAAATATAAATTCCCGTGAAGTTGGAATAGTACTCTGAGAAGAAAATTTTAGGACGGAGGGAGTATTTGTTTACGCGATTTCATCAAGTATTTGATAAAATAAAATATTCTTGTCACCTCTTGTTTTGTAGAACTTTTGACGTAGTTTTTTAATATGTAATTTTTATACCTTATTGATATACCAATTTATAAATAAAATGATTTCAAAAAGTAGGAAATTTTACTCCGTAACCCGCAATTTGTAATCAAATTGGGGACGGAGGGAGTACTTGATTTGAGAGAAATGGAATACGTCCTCTTCTTTTCATTTGTTATTTGATGAAATTAAATATTCTTATCGTTCTTGTTTTGTAAAAATCTTGATGTGCTTTTTAAATATGTAAATTTTACTATTTATTTATATACTAACCTTTAAATAAAATGAATTTTAAAAATTTAAATTTTTACTTTATTTCACATAAAGTGTAAATTATTTTTGGACGAAGAAAGTAAATTATCAGAGCAACTAATGATGTATAGTGTTCCGCCTAAATTGATACTACAGTGATCGGGTAAAGGGGTGGCTGGGTGGGTGACTGGGCCTACGCAAATAAGCTGCAACTTAAACAGTTCAACTGTTTGCAGATTTGCAAATCTTCATCCATCCCATCAATAACTTCTTTGTTCAATCTATCAATATCCAGAACTCCATACTTCCATCTATAAATACATCGAGCATTGCAATTCATGTATACTCAAAGACTTCTTTGGGTTTTCTTTGCCCTTTTCATCCCGAAATTCATTGCATTTTTTGCTAGATTTCTAGACTTTTTTTGCTTATTTATGCTAGTATAGTTTTTTGAGCCTAAAAAAAAATTTATTTCTATATTTTTATTGATTAATCTATAAAATAAATATTTTATACCAACTTTTTGTAAAATATTTAATGTAACGTTTTAATATTTAGTTTTTGTAATTATTTATTTACCAATTTTTAAATAAATAAATTTTAAAAAATGAGGGATCTACTTCGTAAATAAGAAATTGTAATCTAAGTTTGGAAGAAAGAAACACTTCTTTCGCCTAAAAAAGATTTGTACTCTTCATTATTCAAAATGCACGGAATTTTGTTTTATGTGTTTTGATTGATTATTTGATAAAATAAATTATTTTTGTCACTACTTATTTACTACTGAGTAGAATTTTTTACATAGTTTTTAAATATGTAATTTTTTTATTTTAATACAAATATCTAAATAAATTATATTAAAAAATTTGAAATTCTATTTCGTTTTGTGTAAGGTGTAAATAAATCAAGGACAGAGGGAGTATAATTTCATGGCATCACTTTTAGTGGGATTCAAGTTATGTTCTTTTCAACTTATTCTTATTATTTACTTTCTTTGTCTCAGGATATTTGTGTAGCTTTATTTTTTCGAATCAAACTGAAATTAAATTAAGTTTTAATTAAATAAAAATTTTAATGCATATTAGTATAAAAATAATTTTATAAGATTCATCTTGTTGAAAATTTTCACAATTTGATTATTCAAATATGCAATACAAATTAAGAGTAATTGAAACTCAAAGTATGAAACCACTGGAACGAAGGTAGTATAACTTATTCTTTTTGTAATCAGATCAAACTAGATCAGATCATATCAGAAATAGTTTTAAATATAATTATAATTAGATTAAATCATATTAGACCAAACTATATCAAAATTTATTCAATCAAATTAGGACTAATCAGATCAGATGAGAAGAACATGACACCTTTATTGCTTCATATGAGTATTTTTTACAGAGTATAATATTTATACTCCCTCTTCCCAAATTAATGTTCCTTGTTTAACTTTATATACACTTTTAAAAAAGTAAAATTGTTTTATTGAAATTGATGCACAGGAGAAAGAAAAAAAGGTGAGGCACAAAAAATGTAAAAAAAAAAAACATGAACACTATTTTGCGATGACTTAAAAAGGAAATAACGACTACTAATTTGGGTGGAGGGGGTATAAGTTTATGGTATTCAATTTAGAGGTACTATATTAAGCACTTCTCTTTCTACTGGAACATGAAACCACAAATAAAAATTTAAGATGATTGTTAATTTATGATTGAAAGAACTTTGAGTTGGAGTTAAACGTTGTTTCATAAAGGTACTTCATTTAGGAAGTTACATGTACATGCAGGACCTAAGAGCATTTACAATGGGGAGTAATTTTGCCTAGTCCTAGCTTTTCAACCTGAACATGAAGAGGAGTTGGATGTCACCAATTTGGATGAGGGAGATGAAAATGAAGATGGAGATCAAGAACTTGAGGATAATTATGTTTTAGATGTTTAAGAATAAAGTTTTAAGTCATTTGTGATCCAACTTGAACTTGTGTTATGTTTTATTAAAATTTAATGAAAAGATTAAACACACACACACATAGATATATATATATATATATATATATATATATATATATATATATATATATATATATATATATATATATATATATAGTAGGATCTTACGATCTGAGTCACGATCTTACGATGTTACGATCTTCATTATGTTTATCGATCCTACGTAGAATCTAGAGTTTGACTACCATGGTAGCCTCCCTATTTGTAATTATATTTCTTGTACTGTCAATCAAAAGGCATGGCTCCGATAGGCCAAGCCCACTAGGTCGTAGAGAGACGGCTAGGAAACCCATGGGAAATGTATTGTATAAATACATCTCCCATGAAGGAGGAAAAGCACGTTCACATTTTTACTACCAAGCAAACATATTACTCATGGAACCAAAAGACACTCAACTCTTGTTCGATACTCTTCTACCTAGTCTCCTAGGTCTCGGGTTCTAAAACCCATCAAATAATTTGGGAGAAAGTTTCTCTTGTATTTCTAATGATTACAATATGAACAAGAGTTGTATTTATATAAGATCTTATAGGCTAGGAACTCTATATAGAAATAATTACTCCGTACATAAGGAAAAAAATACCAAAGGAAACAAA